AAAGTGTAAGTAATCAATTTTCAATTACTGTCTTTCAGTGATGTGGAAAACTAACAATTTTACATAATCTTTTAATACAACTATACCATAAAATATATGGATAGATATTTCATATTATTTTGTGTATTTTGTTTCTATATAATATCTTGCTAAAATATACCTCAAATACAGATGGGTGATGAGCTATTTTTGTTTTCAACAGTACTTCTTTGTTTTGTGAAATATTTTCAATCACAACTAACTAGTGTCATTTATGCTGTTGCGGTAACAGTATATTTATCAGAAAATGTTATCATTTGATGAAAACAGAGACCACATACGTGTATTAAATTATATAGTCTCTGATGAAAAAGTCAACAGGCCTCACATTCTGCTATAATTAACGTAAATACAAATGATCTTACCTTAGTATCTTTTTCTGAGTTTTGGAGCAATGACATGATATGAAATTAGTCTACTGAACTTTCAAGGATTGTTGCTGTTTGCTGAAGTGTCTCATAGTGATATACTCCTATTACTATGCTATGTAAAATTGCCTCTGCCATCATAAAACAAAAAAATGTCAGAACAGTCTTCTTTGAATTAAAAAATGCCAAAACCTGAGCACTCTTTCATTTAGGGTCTGTATGTATTTGATATTTTCTTTTCTATCTATCTATCTATCTATCTATCTATCTATATCTATCTATCTATCTATCTATCTATCTATCTATCTATCTATCTATCTATCTATATCTATATCTATATATGGCTATAACAAATCCAAATCCAAATTAAATTCTCAATGAATTAGCTCCAAACTGGACAACAACAAAATCATTATTGCAGGGCTCGATTTTAGGAAAGGAAACCTATATGCCCCTGGTGCCACCCTACACGATTACCTTGAAGCCTCAGACAAAAACAGGTTGCACCTCCAGCTCAATATATAATTATCTATTACTTGTGGCTTTGATATTGCTGATTCACAGCTTCATTACAACAAAATTATTCTGGATCTGATATGACAATTTTATATTACTTCATAAAATTTCATGACATGAAAACAAGGGTAATTCTTTCAATCACTGTCAGTGTAATCAGTGCTCCAAGCCAGTTTGGGTCATCAGTCTGTTTCCCAGATGAAGTCTGGTTTTTCAACAGCAAAATATGAACATTCACAGTGTGCAAGTAGGTATAAATATGAGGTTACATTTTGCAGTTTTAGATTGCACCAGTGCAAATTCTAAATGCTAAATCGAGCCATGCACTGGGTCACTTGACCAGTTTTGTCTTCTTCTTTTTTAAATGGACACACGTCAAACAGTGTGAAAAACTAGTGGGTAGAATTAAAACTTAAAGCTCTGCTTTTTGAAGCAACAGAATTATTTCAATTTCGCTCCTACTTGGAGAACAAAAGGTGTGCTGTTTAGCTGTTTTAATGTCTAAAATAATTACCGATTTTGAGTGAAATGCATTCACACCTGTAGACGACGACTATTTTTTATCCCGTCATTCCAATTTTTAAGAAATCCAATTACAGTATATCACAGTTTTACACTAGATCTGGTTTCATCCGTAACTGTGAAAGGTAAAAGAATTACATCTTCGATCATCAGAATTGTCCTTCATGTGACGATAGACACATATCAATATTATGTATATATCATGATGACATACTGACATTTCATAATATCTCCCAGTGTAAGAACAAGTCATTATTTGAAAATTATCGACAGCAAGACTTTGAATTTGTAAAAATAAAGATCTACGCACCGACGGCAATATTGAGGCGAAAAAATATACAACAAAAGAAAGAAATGACAACTACAGTTGATAATAGCTAACAATAACCCATTGAAGGTGTTTAATAAGTTAATTCTACTATAAATTTTGGATTTTACTGAAATTTGAATCAATTTAGAAAATGTATCAATGGTCGTTTTCCAACGCGTGTATATTTTACCTCCATGGGTGCCATGCCGTCAGTGGTTCCGGTTTCATCAAGGGTGGGTACAATTACAAATATTGTGATTATTTTTCATAATCTGTATTATTTAGGTATTGAATCGTTTTCTTAGAATGTATATGAGTTGAGATTCTGATTATGAACGGGTATTTTCTAACATCCTTCGTGTCTTGTCACCTAAAAAAACCCGCGAGTTTGGCCACGCCCTTACGCGTCACCCACGGCTGTCAACAATGTAAGTGTCGGAAGGCTTGTCAAACAAAATCATTATAAACTCGATAAATATGATAATTGTTTTACAAAGACAATAACAGATACCGAATCAGACCATGTAATTAATTCCAGCGAAAATAATTTGGATCTATCAAAAGGATGGCACAATTTTTTTCGGTATCACGATGCATGTGGAGTTGTTTGTCTACCGCCGTTGCCATGATCGTTCCTATTTCATACAATCGGTGATGTAACATTGAGATTGTTTTTGTTTATAACTAATTAAACCGAAAGTTACTATTTTTTAGAAAATATGAAACTTCAGTGTTTTCTCTTCACCAAAGAACAAAAGTATTGATCAAATTATGAAAAAAATATTTCATTATGAAGAAAATATTAGACTGGGCACCACTCGACGTGATGTGCACGAAGTTAACAATGGCCGTTATTTGTGGCTGTGTGCGTAGAATTTGGCGAACAAATTGACAACATAATATACATTTTTACACGCCTTTCTGAACACTGATAGGTGTACCAAAAGGTGCTTGTTAATTGACTTCTTATCCGAAACAACCAGGTAAAACGTGAGGTGGAATCCCATCAGATACCGTTATTAAGAAATATCGCTGTGTTATAGTCTGATTATATGATGTTTCTATTTCTGATCCGTGAGTTATACGATGACTGAGATTGTTTTGGATCCTATTTCTTTGATAAATAGGTCTGTTGACCTGTCGTGTTAAAATACGCATCATTGTAAGCCGTAAATAAATCCCTTTTTGATAAATTGTCTTAATGAAAACAAACTATTTAGGTAAATGTGTATATACAATCTTTTACTTTAGTATACTAGTTACATACCACCGCCATATAGCTGGAATATTGCTGAGTGCGGCGTAAAACTAAACTCACTCACTCTCCTTTATAATGCAGCAAATACGTGCACATAACATTGATGTTCCATGCATATTCTGAAAACAGCAACGACCATTCAGTTAACTAAATTGCGTACAATGCAAAAATTACAACTCTTTTTTTATGTTGGATGGTACAGACCTTTACAGGTTTATTTGTCGTCATCCACTTGCCCGTTTTCTTACAGGCATAAATAGTGATAACTTCTTTGGCATTTTAGAAGTTGGGAAGTACAATATAGACAGACTTTATGGATTACAACTTCTTTATTTCGTGAGAGCGACGTTTCGATACAGATCATTCCTGCTTTACAACAGTACAAGAATCTGTATCGAAACGTCCTTCTCATAATATAAATAAGTTGTAATCCATAAAGTTGACAATGGTTCCCACTTGGCGTTTCTGGGGTTAATTACTTATACATTCAAGTTTGAATGAACGATTGAATGAATGAATGAATGAATGAATGAATGAATTACGTGTCACCCTAAAATTACAACCATGACAGTATATCTTTCTAAATCTAAGGGACTGTATTCCAGCTCTCCATGGGGCTTGGATGGCTGAACGTAGAGCTGTACAACCAGTGTTAAAAATATATGTGCCAACAGAATCTTTTCTCTAGGATATTTTCTAAGAAGTAACCATATATGTTAACTGAATGTGTAACTGGTGAAAAACAAACATAACCCCATCTCATCTTCTGTTGGCGCCAATTCATGCATAAGAACGGTTTATAGCCTCTTTGGTCACTGTACGTTTATTCACAGTGCAATGTCTTTGGTATATTTTGTTTAATGTAGTTATACCCAGTCAGTGCTACCTTGTGATATATCTGTATTTGTGGTCCAATATATTTTGAGGTGGAATTTGGATTTGAAAATGAATGTCTAGAATGCTATTCAAAGTCTGAAAGATTTTATGATTGAAAAGATGTGACATGTACTTTTTTGAAATAATTATAATAATGCAAAAAATAGACATATTGACTACCTATACCTAAGTTGCTCAAAAACATGGCAAAGTGAAACTGAATTAATTATCCTAACTAAGCAGTATTTCTTATATCTTGGATACGGTTTGAGATATTCCAGAACTGATCATCGGAAGATATTTGGTAACTGTTCTTCCCATTCCTTCAGATTTTTTCTTTGGCTTCATTTAAACAATTCTGTGACTTAGTACTTGCAACTTTTTTGGCGAAACGTGCAGGTATCTTGTAGCTTGTCATTAAGCATCGTTGGAACCACTGGCACTTTTAATGAGATATTTTTTCAAAAGATACAGGGGAGGTCGACATATATGAAATAAGCAGGGGGTGGGACTTAGTTGTAGATGCCTTGGGATTATGGAACAACATCTTCAAGGAAAGTCCGTATAAAACAGGTTCAAACTGTCAAGAAACACAGTTTTCGTTCAAGTCACTGAAGTATTTTGGTGAGTTGGTTGAAAATACATCGTCACCAAGGAATAAGAAACACTTATAAAGGAAACACGTTGATATCTTCTCTGTTGTAATTGCCACATCCTACGCTGAATTTGGTTGTTGTCGGGGTCGTTGTTGGTGGCGGTGGTGGTGTTCTATCACCTGAAAGCAAATAACGAAAAGTATACAGAGTCAATCTGACCAATATAACAACAATATATTATCGTAATGGTAGGATGGCCTTGTTGTTAAATTGTTCGCTTATCACGCCTACGTCTGGTTTGGATCCGTAAAATGTTCACATAGTGCTAGGCGCATTGTTGTTGTTGTTATTGTTGTTGTTGCTGTTGTTATTGTTGTTGTTGACTAACTAAATTACACTGTATCCATTCCCTTGTTTAAAAGTCTTGTTAAAGTCGAAATGCATTGTTTGCAGCACCCTCTGGCGTATGTGTAACCGGAGTGGTTTGGTATATACCACAAAGGCAAATAGTTTTTGTAGATGTCAGTTTAATGGCAATAACTGAAGAAGGCCCTGTAAAAGAATAAATACATTGCATCAAAATACGTTACAATACTTCATGGGCCAATACATGTGAGGCTTAGCAATAAGTACTGCAATCATATATAATCAATATAATCACTATTCATTAATCAGGTCTCAGAGTAAACATGTGTATATGTATATAATGTTTATATTTCAAGATACACGTGTAGCATCATACAAGTACATAACATGATTATTTACAATATAATATGAAAGAACCCTCACCGAGTGTATGGCACTGTGCCCGTTACCGTCACAAACGTCAGGAACTATGTTTGCCACACCTGAACATAAACATATACAAATCCAATAATATATAACATTCTACATCTGTACATTATCAATCTACTGTACATAAAATATCTGTTCTAATAAGCCATCCCATCATACATACATTCATTCATACATGCAAAGTTTGGCGCATTAGTTTAAAGAAGTAGATGTACACATTAGGTTTACCTACACAATAAGTTAGATAACATCCTCGTGGGAATGCTGTCTAAGATTACCTGCAATACACTTACATATATAAAGTATTGCTAAGACCTAGTTATGCTGCATGTAACAGATAGTTAATTTGATTAATATTTACCACATATAACATGATACATGCTTTAAAGGAAGCTAAGAAATAATACATACACACTAAACATGAAAACATAAAATACACAATCCAAATATAAACTAACCTGTTATACAACCCATGTTGCCACTTCGACGTTAGGCTTTGTTGCGGGTATATTTGTTTACCCTTTTGAATAGTCACTTAATGGTCATCCTTTGCCATCCTCTTCCCGACCGGGGGCCTCTGAAGATCCGGGGAGACATGGTGTTCGTCAGTTACCTGGGGTGGATTCCTCGCTTTGGCCTGGGGCTTGTTCCCGGGGCGTACTTTTGTTTGATCTTCTCCATGGTAAGCCCGTCCAGATTCGGGAGCTTATTCTGCTTGACCACAGTGTCCGGTTGTCTGGTTGGCTTTTCCAGACTGTCCCGTATGTTATTAATGGAGAGTTGCGGAACACCCTCAGCGTTTTTAGAGAAGGGCAGCAACTCTGGGACATGGTTGACATTTTTAACAGCGTTCTCACTGCCGGAACTCCTGGAGTATCGAATGCCGTCTGGGAGTTTGAACTCGGCCTTAGTTCTAAGACCCCGGGGGCGGGAACTCATCCCAACGAGGATCTACACCTTCGCGGGGGACTGCCTGCTAGGTGTACACAACAGAGAAAGATCACTACCACATGCTGCCCGAAATATCAAGATCAGTTGTATAGAAAATAGTATATTTGGCCAGTGAGTGCGTGAGGTACACAACTGACACCAACACTTCACTAACAGCTTGAATGTCAGTTAACGTTTGGTTTTTAAACAAAATTATCACGAGCAATTCAACATCAGTTATTCCTGTAATAAACACAGAATCGATGCATAATAAAAAAAAAAAAAAAAAAAAATACAAGATAAAATTTATTATGTAGCCTATAATAATGCAGGGCCTCAATAGGCCAAAGAGACACGTTGCAAAACTGTAAAATGTACATAATTTCAGAAAGGTACGATAACGGTTCTGTAATATAGATACATAAAATGATAAATATATTAAATAAAATAATGACTTGTTTGAACTAGTTGAAATATGCTTATAACATTTGCGACCATAAAACATAATAAAATACAATAAAATTGATGTATTATGTAATATACACGCGAATGCGCGGAGAAATGAAGAGCTGAGGTTGTAAAACATCGTTTAAAGGATTAACCGATAAATCGCTGTTTGATTACTTGGACAGCTGATTTGTCAAATTTGTTTACTAAAGCAGACTGAATACACCCAAATCTTTAAAAAAAACGTCGGCATTTATACCTACAGATAATCTCATTTACTGATTAAACTGACGACAGGAGGAGGATGAAGGAGCAAGAATTAGCTCTGAAACGTCGTATAAAGAATAAAATGAAGTTGTTATTTATAAAAAAAACATGTCATGCATTCATGACGATAAAGTTGTTACTGGATTTCAGTGGCGCTATCTCTTCTGAAAACATGACACGAGACTAGTGACAATTTCCCCAGTGTCAATCACTGATGTCATAGACCACTTAACATTCTTGCACTGGGTGTTTCTCGTCAACGCTTATCTTTGCTTTTACATTTATATTTCATTAGTTCATACTCTTTTTGAAGAATATACTGGTATTTATTTTTTACTTATCTATAAGTTACTGTACAGCCTTTTATTTACTGACTAACTGAGTGTTTTTGTCAGTTAATTTATTACAAACCCAAACAAACCAATTGATTTTCGTGAGTGTGAGGATACGTTGGCAAGTTAATCACTAAACAACAATAAATTATTCATTGTGAACCAACTGTGTAGGTGAAATACGCGTGCGAGGTATTTACATACATAGAATGACAAATCCCCAGACAGGTTCACTCTTTCAATATGAATCTTTGTTAGTTGGATACAACTGATCCATCAATATGAGTTGTGTTTGAAGACCATTCTTTTCACAGATGGTGATTCGTCCTTTTCATCAGTCAAACAACTTCGATGTGTCAAAGGCACAGTTGTCTGGAAGTAAATATCTAGTCCCTGAATAATTCTTATTAATCATCATTTTGCTGTTGTGTCAAACTTCGAATGACTCGAAGCATGTACGTAGATATGTTCATCATCGACATAACGGTGTTTGACTGCATATAATTTTTACAAAATTGAGGGTTTATGAACAGCTTTAAACATACACATTCTTATTAACCATCATTTTGCGGTTGTTGAAAAACAAACATTTAAGGTTTTACAACACTTGATGTAGGTTGTTGATCCGGGTATGGGTGGATGTAATGTACACGGAATGGTGCTACCTTGTACGTCCTGAGTCGTATGTAATGGTACGATCAAATATACCAAAGTGTTGTTAAGTGCACTAAAGTGAGAACCCTTTCATTGGCATTCTAAGAAACCTAGCATAAATAAATGAAAACGCTGAAATGTTTTTTCCTTGAACAATGCCAATTGTACTTCCTAAATATAAATCCGGACGCTTCTGGTGCGATGTAATGATGCCTTGACCATGGGCTGTGAAAGCTAAATAGATGGGAGATCACTCAAGGCAATAAGCGTCATCCCATTAAGTGTAATCTATATAATGTCAAAGATTCCCACAACTATTTCATGCATAAAAGTTGATACTTTCAAGTCCAAATGATTCTGAACAACATGAATTATGAACATTCTTGACAAATTTGCTAAAGTAACAACCCACTGATGTTTCCACAGTCACGCACTATTGAATCTGCTTCTGAAGATAGTCGAAAGCGCAAGTCGATAGCTATGGCGCTGGCGTTATATATTTAAGGCATTTTATTGGTTGACACTGGCATTTTTTAAATAAATGTTTTTTTGGATAAAACCTACAAATAGGTTGTGACTGTTACAGTCCAACATGCTCCATGCCACATAAAATTTGCAGCTGATGGAATGTACCCCAAGCCGCAAACGCAATGCCTTATAGAAAGTGGTCAAATGTTACAAATAATATATTACGGATAAGTATTCTTGGTAAAGTTCAGACTCTTACTACTTCCTGTCCCCTTTCTAAACGTCATCCTTATTTCATTGCTTTCGTCCATGTAGACATTGACAACTTAAACTTGTGAGAGGGGTATAAACATTTTCTAGAAGCCTCCGTGGTTGAATGGTTTAGTGTGCTTGTGATATGATGCCTCATTCCGACAGTGGGGTAAAATCCCAGATGGGACTCAGCCGAAAAGTTTTGTTATATTTTGTTTGTTGTTTAACGCGTGCTTAGCATTGTTCTGGTTATATGGTTGTAAACAATGGAGCCTGGATCAGACAATCCAGTGATCAACAGCATAAGCATCGATCTACGCAGTTTGGATACAATGACATTTGTCAACCAAGTCAGCGAGCCTGACCACCCAATCCCGTTAGTTGCCTCCTACGACAAGCATGGATTGCTTAAGACCCATTTTAACCTGGATCGTCACTGGTTCCCAAACTACTACTAGAACTTGTACTTTAACTCATGTGTAATCCCAAATATGTCATTGGTTGCATTGCCCAGACGACGTAAAACTAAACTAGTCAACTCATGGGTGGATGAAAGGCAGGATCCGCTGTATGTTGTTTACATCCGATGTTCGTGCCGAACCGAGCTGTGCCTCATTCCGACAGTGGGGTAAAATCCCAGATGGGACTCAGCCGAAAAGTTTTGTTATATTTTGTTTGTTGTTTAACGCGTGCTTAGCATTGTTCTGGTTATATGGTTGTAAACAATGGAGCCTGGATCAGACAATCCAGTGATCAACAGCATAAGCATCGATCTACGCAGTTTGGATACAATGACATTTGTCAACCAAGTCAGCGAGCCTGACCACCCAATCCCGTTAGATGCCTCCTACGACAAGCATGGATTGCTTAAGACCCATTTTAACCTGGATCGTCACTGGTTCCCAAAATACTACTAGAACTTGTACTTTAACTCATGTGTAATCCCAAATATGTCATTGGTTGCATTGCCCAGACGGCGTAAAACTAAACTAGTCAACTCATGGGTGGATGAAAGGCAGGATCCGCTGTATGTTGTTTTACATCCGATGTTCGTGCCGAACCGAGCTGTGCTTGTTGTGCTAGTTGTGCTAGTTGTGCTAGTACTTTACTCACGTACTATAAATCACATAGTGATCACAAGTTTATAAAGATCTCCACCAAACCAACAAGAGACCACCGAATAATCTCTAGGTAGACTTCATCTACAGTTTGACTTTATCTCCCAGTGGATCTTATCTCTAAGTGGAATTTGCTTCCATGTGGACCTTATCCCCAATTGGACTTCATATCTCAGATGACTTTATACCTGAGTGGACTTTACCTCCGAGTGCACGTTATGCCAAGTGGACTTTATCCCCAATTCTAAGATGCCTAGCGGTTAGAACAATCGAAAAAAACGTAACAATTGAATGACGTTATCCCGTCACTGCGCCATTCTAGTGTGCCCCCTCGTAATCGAACCATTTTACATTACGTCACAATGTAAGCGACGTCACGATGCATGTCAGTTGTCATCGCCTCGTACGGCCTCCTACAGTAAACTACACCGTTGCATCAATAACGTTGCAGTTGCTTCACGCAGCTAACACTGGTGGAAACATTACGTTTATGTTTTACGACGGTTAAAATGTGTCAATTGAACTCACAAGTTTTCAGCGACGCGGTAACGTTCGCAATGTTTACATTCCCACAATGCAATCGTAGAATGTCGCTTGACTACTCAGCTTCATCTGGATGTACTGATCTAAACTTACGTTTGTAGTAGAAATGCGACGTTCATATTGCCCCATATGGTTTACGTTAATGACAGATGTAATTAAAATAATGCAGGGAAGATATTTAATCCGAACGTAAACCGTCATCAAACTGTTATCATTTGGGGTTTTTTCTGGTAACGTTCGTCTTAAAGGTCACATGCAACCAAAAAATCAAACATAATTAAAACACAATTATCACTTATTCATGACATATAATATACATTGTTGGTTATGAAAAAACATATAAACAAAATTATAAGCGTACAATCGCAAATCAAAAGTGCAATATTGTGTA